CATCCGCAGTAATACTCAAGAAAATTTATCCCACATCCCCAACCTCCCGCCACCCCGCCACCCCCCAACTTCCATCACCACTGCATCCGCATCTCTGTAATACTCACCACTGCATCCGCATCTCTGTAATACTCATTCACCAGAAAAATATTCCTCAACCGCCGTACCCTCCCACCACCCAGAACTCTCTCCCCTCCCCGCCTACAAACCCCACACACCCAGCCCGAAACCCGGTCCATATGGAGTAAGTAGCTGCCGGGACTCCCTCCAATTCATCCGCCTCCGACGAAGACGACGAATCCGACAGCGGAACCTGTAACAGATGGTGCTCGCTCCGGTGAAGATCGTCTCCGGTGATAGGGAACCGGAGGACTGCCGCGCCCGAATCGCGTCCGCCGGCGATGCTGCTCCCTTGCGTACTTGGTATCTTGTGGTTGAAAATGGGGAAAAACGCGTCTTTGAAACAGGCTTCCAGTTTCAACGTAATACCCCTCCAAGTAACCAAAACAACGAAGTTCTGTAATCGGTTACCACGTAGACGTAACCGATTACAGAAATGCTCACATTCCTTCACACCACTGTAACCGATAAACCAAAGGATGTAACCGGTTACGGCTGAGACTGGTATTGTTCATCATCTTCTCAAACACGCGGTGGTGCTCCTCCCGCCTCCCTACCGCAAGTGGAGGTCCACCACGGAAACGGCGAGATGGCGGCTAAGCTCCAGGAGGTCGATTTGTTGGCAAAAATTGTGGCGAGAAACAACAACATCGCGACGGTAGATTTGGCAGCACCAGGACGAGGAAGAGAGACGTGGACAGAGAATAATGTGCAGACAGTTTAGAGGGCACATATGTCATTTGTGAACAAATCAGCGCAAATCTCCTCTTGATAGCGAGATAAAAAAAAGAGCTTCATCTCGCAAATGATCGCTTTTCTTCGCTCACAAATCAGCGCAAACGAACAGCTTGTGCCTCGCAAATCATTGCTCTCTTTTCTTCATAAACAGTGTTTCACCTTCAAGCGAACAGAGGCTAAGATTTATCGGAGTGAAAGATAAATTTTTTTGTCGTTTATTTGAATGAATTTGGAGGTAAATGAGAGTGAATTTGAAAATAAAATTTGTGAGAATTAGTATAGAATTGTATTGACGTGACAAATTAAAAAAATTTATTTCCAAATTCACTCTCATTTACCTCCAAATTCATTCAAATAAACGACAAAAAAAAAATTATCTTCAAATCCTCTCAAATCCCCTCAAATCCACTCAAAAGAACAAGGTAAAGCTTGTTTACCAGACCCTTTTTTATAAATGTGTTATTTTTAATATTTTTACAAAATCTATTATTTATATTTTTATATACATGTTAACCTTTTAAACTTATAAATTAATTTTAAGAATGATTCAAGACTTAATTATAAACTTATAAATATTTATTATTATTTTTTAAGATAAAACTTTCTTATTTTTTTTTCCTACTGTGTGTTTCCGTGAAAACTAAGATTCATCGGCAGTGAATCATAGCACTGTTTCCTCGATATTAAGCTTCATTTTAAAGCTTGTTTATGAGACCCTTTTGGATCGAAATGAGCACATATGTTTGTGTTGACATCTGCATGTCGATAGCATAGCTTTATACTATTGATACAGTTGTTAATAAAAGGAGCATGTGAGATGTGGGAGAAGTGTAGATGAGACTGAAATTAAAACTGAAATTGAGATGCAAACAAGTGCTTGATATTTTACAATGAGAATGACCAACTAGCTATCCTATTGGGTGTTTTTAGAAAGTAGAAGCACTGAAACCAAGATTGAGATATAAACTAGAGTTACGCCTAATCTGAAAATTATTACAGCTGGGTCACACTCACTACTACTACTACCTACTGTGAAACCGAACCCTTCCAAAAGCTTAAAGACGCAACAATGCTATACAGGTTAGACTTTAGCTGCATGCCACTGCCACACATACGCTATCAACAAAATATTGGTTGGAAAAAAGAATAGAATATCATACTATTAGCCGCTTAATGCATAAAAATATGGTTCCTCATCCATCATCACCCACAGATGGTCACAACAATACTCCCACGATGATGCAGATGGGTTGCAACCCACTTCACTCTCTCCATAAACAAAACTGTTGTTCTCTTCTGACATGTCAATATCTTTCCATATATCATCCATTGAGAACTCACCTTCACCTTCATCTTGAGTTGAAGCTCCTCCTGTGTCGTAAAAGCTCTCTTCTCCTGCCTTTTTTGAAGCGTGTGGATCCACTTCATGCTTCTTTGAGGATACTGATATTGAGGAATGAACACTGCAAGATGGTTTTGTCGGTGTTGATGATGATGCAGCTTCTCCTCTTTTTTTCTCCTGAGCCTTTTTCCTCATCAGAGTCCTCCAGTAGTTCTTGATCTCGTTGTCAGTGCGCCCTGGTAACTTGCGAGCGATACTTGACCACCTGCATATCATTAGATTTTGAGTCAAAGGGTCAATGATACAAAGCATAAAACTCAGTTATAATGGTTTCAGACTGTTGATTCGAAGTTTTACCTGAACAATCTGCAGAAATACTAATTATATATACATGTATATAAGTTTTGGTTTGAAACAACATAAGAAAAAAGACAAAGGAACTAAGAAAGTATAGTGAAGTTGAGCATATATAATATGTTTGGTTATGATCATCAAACCTATTTCCCCATTTTGAGTGAAGCTCAAGCACGAGTCTTTCTTCCTGGGGTGTCATCTTTCCACGTTTGAGACCAGGATGAAGGTAATTAACCCATCGTAATCTGCAACTTTTACCTGTTCTATTCAAACCTACAACAAAGTGAGGTGGTTAAAGCTAGGGTGGTTCTTCCATAATGCATGCCTAACGCCTATTTTACTGTCTCCCGCCACCTTCAAACCTGATACCTTAGCAATAAAGTCCCATCTACGGTCTCCAAACAAGCCAACAAACGACACCAGTTTGAAATCTTCCTGTTCTGTCCATGGACCTTTACGCACTTCCTGTTGAACCATTTTCACACACCACTACTTCTGTAAATGGAATCTTTTCTCTCCAGGGTTCTTTCTTTCTTTATCTATCGCTTGCTGCCTCCTATGCAACCATTACCAACATTTATATATACGCCTTGTCGTACTCACTCCTTATTTTTTATAAGCCATTTTGCATATCCACCGTTCGTTTGGTCGTTTTTTCATGATGACATCACCCGCTACGTGGAAATAATCAGAGTAATAGATCAATATGTTCATGTAACTTTCACCATTTTTCTTTTTTCTTTTTTTTTCCTCTACCCATACACACCACTTTATTATTCATCTTGAACTTATCTGACAGATGTTTTTCTCCCCCAGTTCCACCTTCCCCTATGCATTTTCAAGCCCAAATTTCTGATTAATTAATCATATCTTCTAATCATATGCATGGATTTGCCTTATTGGTGCCTCAATTTAACACAAAGACAAGATTAACTATCACTCTGCAATATTGTACATTTTATTGTTTTTATAGCATATATATATATACCCTTTTGAATCCTTTATGAATAGTCTAAAGCATTAATATATAATCACATAGTAAAGACTTTTTTTGGGTGTTCTTTGATTCGCCTTTCATTGGGAGTGTTGAACAGTTGGCTAGCTAACATCTACTCTCAACATCCAGAGAACAGAAATATGAAGAAAAATAAAAAAGCTTGATTTTTTAGAAGTAGGATTGCAGAAAGAATGGTGTGTGAGAAAATTGAAAACTTGAAGGGATTCAGTTGACAGAGAAGCCATGCTGCTTGATGAAGAGTTTGATGGATATTACGGCTCTTGACTTCTGCAAAGGGCAGCACAGAAAGAAAAGAGAAAGCGGAAGAAGACAAAAAAAGTGAAGAATATAGGCAGAAATGGTTAATATGTTTTCTCAGAAATATATAATATTGAAAATGGATAGAGATATTATTCTAAAAACTATTGTTAGATAAATGTAGCATCCAAAGTTTGTGTGTGGTGCCCTCAGCAGAGAGAGTGTGGCACTATATGTCGGGCCAGTTTAGGTTATATTAAATAATACGATTTTTCCAACTTGATGTGCATGCCTCATATAAAGGTTTAAAAAGTCTATGATTTCAATTTTCAAATTTTGCTTTTTGTAGCTAAGATCCGTTCTAATTATAATTGAAGAATAATTTTATAACTTAATTCAATCTTTTTAAAATAATTAGAATATTTCTTATGTACTGAACCATCAAACCATGACTTACAAGGGAGTTTATGAATATATACGCCTGAAATTCAAAGAAATAGAAGGGCTTGTTTGATTCACTTTTCATTTTTGTAAGTTTTAAAAGTTATTTTCTAAAAATAGAAACAATTTTCACAAACAATCAATTTATCATTCAAAATATATTGAGTTTTGAAAATTATTTTCAAATTAAACAGGTGTTTTAAAATAAAAATAAAAGCAAAAACAAGTACAAAATCTTCTTCTACTTTCCATCTTTATTTTTAACTTCTCCTTCAATTTTACGATCTGCTATATTTTTTGTACAGCCCTTCATCACCAACTATATATATAAGCAGCTTTTCCTATTTTATATTGAAAACTAAAAACAGTTTTTTGAAAATAAAAGGCAAATGAACTTTATTTGTTTTCAAAAATTACACAACATCATCTTTTGAGTAGATGCAATAAATAGACCACATATATATTCTGATAGAAATATATATAAGAAATAAACTAAAATTTTGAATTCTTTAATGAAAATTAATTGACGATAAATATTTTTTAAAAAATTTGTTTAAGTTTAAAGAAATTAGTAAAAAAAACAAAATACAAAAATAATCTTGTATATGAGTAATATATAAAGAACAAATAGAAAATTGAAGGTTAAAGTAAAATCCAAATTCTTTCCTTTGGACCGTTTTGGATGAAACTGATAGTTTCAAGGTAAAACGCGGATTTTACATGTTTTTAGTTTTTAAATCAGTAAAAAATCTTCTCCACCAAATTTACCAATTTATTTTTTACTTCCTGTAATAGAACCTTAGCTGTAAAATTTTATAAATGAATCTAAAGTGTTATTTTTTCATATATTTTTTACATTTAGGAGGACAAAGTCTAATATGGTTTATTTAACACCTAATTATACTTATTTAGTCAAATTTTGTCTTGTATGAGCGCATTTCTCACACAGATGTGGACGCACCCACACCTTATAATTAAATTTTTATATAAACAAATTTCACACGAATCCTTTATTACCCCATATGGATGCAAACACTAAGTTTTAGGTAAAGAAGAACAAGTTGAAAAAAAAAATCCTTTCTTGTCAAGATTGACTTGTGCTTGACAACTTGTCTATATTTGTATAATTTGATGTATGACTTTTATTTGTTCATCATGAAACATCTTCAATTTAATTTTATATCTTGAGTACATTTAACTCGAATACATATATGTCGCATCTATAACTTCATAATAAAGGATTTTTAACTTGTCTCAAAATCAAAATCTTAGACTATTTCTAATTTAACTTTGATAAGTGTTTAATTTAAACTATAATTTTGAAATGAATTAGATGTTTATTTTATTTTGATTATGTAAATTTTCAGTTAAATTTATCTTAATTTAGTTTGTTTTTGTAATTTTCAACACCAAAAAAAAAGTTAAAATGAAAAAATAATAGATGAAATTTCAACAATTATGGACAAACTAGACTGGTGTAGCTCGGAAGTAAAATTTAGATTGAGTCACGAAAGAGTAAACTTTTTTTGAAGAAAAAATTTCATGCATCAAATCTAAGGCTGAGTTGTAAAGACTCATTTTCAAAGAAATTGCTCAGAAGCTTAGCATCAAAACATGAGAGTAAGCATAAAAGCAAACATACATAGGAAGGAAATCTCTACCGAGTCAGTCACAAGTGCATTGTCGAACACCGTCTTGAACAATTTATAAAAATAAAGTTGTACTCCTATTTTAGACAAACCCTTTTGGGATAGATTTTGAGACACTTTTAAAGAGTTTTTTAAAAGTTTTTATCTATACTTACTTTTGAAAAAATAATCCAAGTTGTGGTTTAATTGATTCTTCTCTTATTTTTAGATATTAGGAATAAGCTCTAGCTAGTTATAAAATTATAATCTTAATGCAAGTAATTTATTCAAACCGTTACTGACAAATTATATTAAAATTTGATACATTTAATATTTATTCAAACCGTTAATTTTCAGTTAAATTTATCTTAATTTAGTTTGTTTTTGTAATTTTCAACACCAAAAAAAATTTAAAATAAAAAATAATAGATGAAATTTCAACAATTATGAATCATAATCTTAATGCAAGTAATTTATTCACACTGACAAATTATTTTAAAATTTGGTGATCTTATATTTTAGATCTAAAAATAGACCTAAAGTTACATTTAATATATTTTTTTTCTCCAATAAAACTTAAAAAGAGATTTATCCAAATATATCCAAAAACTTATTTTCTTTTATTCATTAATTACATATTCCTCAATTCATTTATCCTTATTTTGATTTTACAAGAGATAAAACGGAAAGTTGTCATTTTATAACAAAATGGCTTTTTTCTTAGCGAAATTATTGTTTGTTTAAACAAAATATTTTTAATTATTGAGTTTTAAGAGTGCAAACCATACACAAGGCTGTGGTGATGATATATCTTAAAAAAGAAATTGGCCACCAACCTAAATTGTAGCCAAGTTGTGATATTGGTAGGGACGACAAATTAAGTTTCAGAAAATCTTACTTTAAAAAAATTGCGTATTCTTCGTCTCATCTTTTTCACCTTTCAGAATCCAATCCATCATCACCGACAAATAATGAAACACGGTTACATCATTTTTAATGAATGACCAAATCAACTGATAAATATTATATAAATAATTAACTAAATTAATCAAATCTCTGCATTACGATATATTGATGATTTATTATTTATTATCTTTCTTCCCTATGTATAACACTGTCCCATTAAAATTTAGATTCTCCACAGAAATTTTATCTTATTTTTTTCCTATACTTTTAAAATAAATTATTTGATATTTTAAAATATATTAAAAAAATTAATATTGTCTAAAAAATCAATATATATTAACAGTCGTCCTTCTTTTAACGGCTAAATTTTTTATTAATAATTTTTTTAAGACACCAATTATATACCAACTCCTTTTTATTTAAAAGAATTACAATAAAAATAGCTTATATCAATGACAGTTACATATTTTTATCTTATAACAAATTTTTTATTAGTAAATAGGGAA